TAGCTTGATTTATGCAGGACTGTTGTGTTTGTGTCTGTTGTACTAATGTAATTACCTGAGTACCTCTTTTGTTCTTGAATGCATGATGATTTATATGATAAATTGGTCACTACTTATTTATTAACTTATAACTCTCACTATTATTTATTAACTCAGAGCTGTCAGAATCAAGTGAGTGACCTGAAATCATAGAGATGCTCAGAGTTTATGGAGGATGCTGGTGAACTTTGTACCTTCCCACCTGATGCTTAGTGTGATAACTTTTCATTGATGCAATTCACATAATTTCTGATACCAAAATCGCTGTTTCTTTCCTTTCTATTTCTTATATAAGCAACCAGTTCTGTGAATCTCCCATCAGTTGGGTATCCCCCAAACAAACTCAGATCTGAGACTAACTGTTCAGAGTTAGTAAAGATCCTACAGGTTAGGAATCCAGTTTTACACTTCAGGTTGTCAGTCCTAATTCCCAGGTTGTCCCTTGTACTTCCATCCAGCGAGGCAGTAATTGAATTCCTATGATATCTCTCACAGGTTCAGAGATTTCTTAGAATGACACAGAACTCAGAAAATAGTTTGCTTTCTACTACTGGTTTACTAAAAAAGTACAACTGCAGAACAGTGAGGTCAGAGAGATGGGTAGAACAGGACATGGGTAGAGGTGCCCACAGCTTTCACGCCCTCTTTAGATGATAGATCATTTAGGAATTTTAATAAAGGTTTCATAAGGCATGATTGATCAAATTATTGGCCACTGGTGATTGAGTCAAACTCCAACCCCTCCTCACTCCTCTTCAGAGTTTAGGTGATACTTCTAGAAGTTCCAACTTCCTCACAGTTGATTCCTCTGACAATCAACTCCCATCTTGAAGTGATCTAGGAGCATACTGGAGAGTCCTTTTCATTAGCATAAACTCAGGTAGGTTTGAAAGAGGCTCATTGTGAAAACAAAAACACAGCCTCTGCATCTCTGTTACTTAGGAAACGCTTAGACTTTTAAAAACGTTTAGAAGTTCTGTGTCAGAATCTGGAACAAAGACTAAAACTGTATTTCTTATGACCACATGCCCATTTTACGTGCACCTTCTTATTTCCCAACTCCAACCCTTTTTGTCAAGCAGGGCTGACTTTTGAAAAACATGTGGCCTAATCTTAGCCTAAAGAGGATACCAGGGTGTGCCAGTTAGCTGGCACTGATCATCTGGACCCACCTGTGCCACACGAAGTAGCATTTAGTGGAGTAAAGGGGAGAAAAAGCGTGATTATAAAGGAAGCTCATAAAGGAAAAAAAAATATGACACTCAAGCTCAGGAAGGAAAGGGAATGGAGCAGCTCAGTCCATCTTGGTTCAGAGATATAAATTAGTTGCCATTTTTGAGGAAGACAGGTATCAAAACCATGTAAACAGAAAGAGCAAATCAAGCAGTAATTTCCCCTCTTCAAGAATTAACAACAGTTATTATTCATTTACTGTATTTGCTTCACAGGGTGGTTTTTGGTTTTGCTATTCAAAAAATTATTATATTTATTATTACCCTCTCTCTGTGTGTGTGTGTGTATATGTGTGGCACAGTGAGTGCATGCAGTCAGAGGACAGTTTTGGAGAGTAGCTCTCGTGGGTGCTTCTGGGGATTGAACTTGTGTCTCGATGGCCTGGTTTGCCAGCTCTTGTTCTTGCTCTTTTGTTCTTGTTTTGTTTTACGGAATAAATGAAACAAAATCAAGTTTGTGTCCTCTCAGCCCCCAGTCTCATTTGCTTCCTCAGAGTCAAGAGGTGAACACCATGGTGAGTCTGTGCATCTTTTTAGGATTTCTAATTTAGGTGCGACTCTATAGCCAGTGTGGGATATTGTCTCTGTCGTGGCTTGTCTGTCACCATAGTTTGTTTCCCAAGAACCACTTTCCTGGGAGTGTGTCTGATGAGCACGGCAAGTGCTGTGTATCAAGTCTCGGGACCTGTTATGACTTTGAAGGACCTTTGATGACTTTTGCCTTCATGGGCCTTTTTTTTTTTTTTCCACAGGAAGAGAGAGTTAAACATATGTTTCATGATTGGATTTGGTGTTTAAAGATGAATTTAATCCAACCTAGGCTCTGTAATTTTCTTTTGACCATCACAGAAATAAAAACATTTCCATAGGTTTCTGTCAGAGTCTAAAGTCCAGGGGCAGACACAGCCCTGCTATGCCATATGCCCCAACTTTTCCTTTGAAGTCTTTTATATCCTTTTCTCAAGCATCTTTTGGCCTAGAGTCGGCCTCATGGGGAAGCTTATCTTCCCAACTGTGACTCTCAAACATCCTCAAGCAAGGTTCTATTCATCCCATTCGTCTATAGATCTCCTGCTGCAGAATTACCTTCTCTTATTTCCTCCGTGAGTGAGGGGATACACAAAGTAAGTCACTTTTTGTATTAGGATTCTCTAGAGGAATGGAACCAGTAAAACGAAGATAGAATCATTACAATGAATATTATGAAGAGGGATTCATTAAATTGGTAAATACAACAGTAGTCTAATGACGGCTATCTGTGTGTGGGGGAGACTCAGAACTTGGGAGCCACTCAGTCCACAAGGCTGGAGACCTCAGTAGTCCCAAAATGATATGGAAAGCCTGGAGGGTTCCTGGAGAGCTGCTGATCCGCAGTGCATCCTGGAAAGCAGAAGAAACTGGGTTCTAACGTAGGTGAAGGAAGGCAGCAGCGATGGCACCTTGCAGCTTCTTGTGTATTGGCTGTGCTGGAAGGTGCTGCTTGCTCTAAGGTGAATTTTTCTCTCATCAGTTGTCCTTCCAGGAAATACCCTAACAGCCCTGCTCTGAGCCACGTTCCTTAGTTGATTCCAGATCTTATCGAATTGACAACCAAGACTAACCATCACACATCGCTTGCTCATTTAGGAACTGAGGACCGCTCTGTGTGTGTTTCAGGGATCCTGTTAACGCTTTTAGAACTCAGCGTTGCCTGAGGCCACACCTGTTCCCTGAAGGATAGCACAGCCTCAAGCAGACTTTTGTGGGTGTGCCTGGAGCCCAACATGATGAGGACCTGGGGACTGCCACACAGCTAGAGGACAACCTTCCTTCTTTCTCTGTCACAAGGACAGAGTTTTCATCTCTTTCGTTCCCTCTGGCCAGCCCTGTCCGACTCATCTACAGAAGGCCATTTCATTAGGACTTTGCCTCTGTCTTTCTACTTCTTGTTCATCGAGCAATAAATCATATCTCATCAATTCTGTGATGCACGTATTTTTAAAAGCCATTTAACATATCTGAAAATAGGCTATGATTGATTGCCTCTTACAAACACTGTTGGCCTGGTGGCAGTTGTGAAATAATTGGCCTTGCCTCTCCATTCATGGACTGTTCTGGAAACTTTTTGTTGGTACTTTCTGATAGACAAAAGGATAGCTACAAATAACTTGCAGAGTAGGGGTCAACAACTTGGAAGAACACCCCAGAGACAATAGCTCTTATCCAGTAATATTGCACATAATTTTTTATGTCTATAAAGAGTGATGAAAAGAAATCTAAAAAGCTTTTTAATAATTAGAAAATAAAATTTCTAGGGCATAAGGAAATACTGTGCCGTGATTTAATTTGTAGCACTTTTTTTCTTTCTTACTGCATAAAATAATGAGGCCTTTAATCAAGGATGATTTAGATTTGATAAAATAAGTTATACATGTAAGACTCATGGAGGTTTCACCACAGAGCACATCGCTGACCTGCAACAGATACTCAATACATCCTGCTGATTGTGTGACATTAGTTAAAATAATACACACACAGAATGAGAGGAAGGATAACAATTCATTGTTAATAAACCTAGAATATTTCCATTTTCCTCACACTGTGAGTTTGGTGCAAATATCGCATTCACTTTCCTTAGAGAATGCATTGGCAAGGTTTTTGTGTAAAGGGCTAGTAGATAGTAAATATTTCAGACTTCAAAGGTTTGATGGTATCTCCTCTGTACTCCACTCCTCCTTTTAAAATATGAACCAACCAGAGACAACAAGGAAACACATGGGTGTGGCTGTGTCCTGGTAAAGCTTTATTTACTGCAACAATGGTGGAGTTTGAACTATGTGCCTCAGTCTTCTCCAAAGTAGTTTTTTTTTTTTAAGTTGAGTGTGTATAATAATGACCCAGTAAATCTGTTAAATTTCAGATTCTGAGCTGATGAGATGACTCAGTCTGATAACCTGAGCTCAGTTTTTGACTCCTGAGAGCTGTCTTCTGACCTCCACAGACATGCTGTGGAAAACACACATTCACGTCACACACACACACACACACACACACACACAGACATAGACACACAGACACACAGACACACACAGACACAGACACACATACACACAGATACAGACAGACAGACACACACAGATACACACACAGACATAGACACACAGACACACAGACACACACACACAGACACATAGACACAGACACACAGATACAGACAGACACACACACACAGACATAGACACACAGACACACAGACACACAGACATAGACACACAGACACACAGACACACACATACAGACACACAGATACAGACACACACACACAGACACACACACACAGACACACAGACACAAACACACACACAGACATAGACACACAGACACACACACACAGACACACAGATACAGACAGATACACACACACAGACACACACACACACAGACATAGACACACAGACACACACACACACAGACACAGACACATACACAGACAGACACACGGATACAGACAGATACATACACACACACATAGACACACAGACACACACACAGACAGACACACACACACAGACACACGGATACAGACAGATACACACACACAGACACACAGACACACACACAGACACAGACACACACACACACAGACATAGACACACACACACACACACACACACACGCACACACACACATACCACAAACAAATAAAAAATCATATTTTTGCTTTCCTCAGCTGCTGCAAGGGACTCTAAGGCCGCGTTGGGGTGAGGCCCTCACTTCATACGGCGACTAGCACCAAGCCGGTGCAGCATGGCTTCCGTGTCCTCATCCTGCACGACGATGAGGTCACCGTGATGGAGGAGAAGATCAATGCTCTCATTAAAGCAGCTGGCGTCAATGTTGGACCTTTTTGGCCTGGCTTGTTTGCAAAGGCCCTGGCCAATGTCAACACTGGGAGCCTCATCTGCAATGTAGGGGCTGGTGGACCTGCTCCAGAAGCTGCTGCCGCTCCAGCAGGTGGTCCTGTCCCCTCTGCTGCCGCTGCCCTGGCTGAGGAGAAGAAAGTGGACGCAAAGAAAGAAGAATCAGAGGAGGCTGATGATGACACGGGCTTCGGTCTTTTTGACTAAACCTTTTAACATACTCAATAAAAAGCTGGACCTTTTGGTCTGTTGAGAAAAAAGAAAATCAGATTCTTGAGCCCATTTACAGATGATTGTACAAAGATGGTGAGCAGTTTTTGAGACCCACTTGTTTAAGGTCTTAAAATTAAAAGTTAATTTTCTTGGAAGGTATCTGCAATTTTTTAAAATAGAAACTATCTTGAGACTAGCAAAGTTCAGAATCTCTTTATATTTTATTTACCTTTTCTTCTTTATTTACACAGTGCCTAGTGATGACAATATATTACTGGGACTTAAATTGAGTGTTTTGCCTGCATGTATGCTAGTGCACCCATGCATGCAATGCCCATATGGAGGCCAGAAGAGGGCAACAGATCCCCCTGAAACTGGAGTTACAGATAGTTGTTAGCTGCCATGTGAATGCTGGGAGCCAAACCCAGGTCTTGTGCTAGAGCAACCAGTGCTCTTAACTGCTTAGCCATCTCTCCAGTCCCATAGAAAACATTTTTTAAAGAAGTCAATTGTCCCATTTCCAATCTAGAGTAAAGGGAAAATGGTCCAAAATTGACATTAAACCCCTTCAATTTTATGGTCAAGAGGAGATTCTTCTCTCTAATGGGCCACAGGGGTTGTACCCATAAAACGAAGTCCTTTGGGCCAATCCTTCTCAGTTAATGCCAGTGTCTCATGTGGCTGACCCATGGGCAACAGAGCCACATCAGGAAAACTTTGGATTCTCAGACGCACATGCAGTATGTCATCCACAGAACTATCAGTGTGGCCCTCTCCACAGGGATTCTTTCTTGTTTCATAATAGGTGAAGTCCTCTCAGGATTGTCTGTTTTCTTTAAAAGGCTAGTAAATGGCTTTGGATAGCTGTGAGATTTTAATTTCATGAACTATCTGTAAACACTTCTTGCATGGGAATAGAAACCTCTTCAGTGTAACTCATGGTCAGATGATGCAGAGAGTGAGAAATGGTTGGATAACGCAATGGTGACCACATCTATCTACTGGGCACCAGGCTTGTTGGTTAAATCTAAATTTCTCCTTTTATTTGAGCCAGTGTCCAAGCTGGTGAGAAACAAACACAGCCGTGTTGATGGGTTTGACTTAAAATTACGATCACAGCATGCTGTGGGCCTTTAGTTTTAAGAAATTCTCTACTTCCTTAGTTAATTTAATTGTCCATCATTAAGAAGGTTGCTTTAGACTTTGTCCTCCCCTCTTGAAACTTGGGCATGTCTTTCCCATCCCCATACTTACTAAGAAAATTAAAGCAATCAGGAAAGGGATTCCAGGCTTTCTGGCCACCAAATCCTTCCAGCTCCATGTTATCTGATGTGTCACAAGAACTTTCCACCACACTGTCAGGTCAATTTCTCCTCTACTTATGCCTTAGATCTCAACCCATTTTGTCTACTCAGGGACATCTATGGAGTAATTTGCGCTTTCTACCTCCTACTTTCCCTTGCTAACAGTTCCTTTCTATTTACGTGTTTTTTATTTGTTTCATTTTATTTTTGAGACAGAGACTCAGGAATCTGAGGTTGGCCTTGTACTCCTGATCTTCCTTCCTCCACTTCCCAAGTGCCGAGACTGTAGGCATGTGCCACCATGCATGGCTTCTATTAACATGCTGTAACATCTTCAACTACAAGAAAATCTTAGTCTTGAGCCCACATTTCTTCCTAGCCGCCGCCTGTCTCTCTGGTTCACTTTTCAAAAGAGCTCTGTAAGATAATTGCCTGTATTAATTCTTTACCAGTCCTGCCCTTCCCTTCTACCTCCTCTCCTGTTCCCACGTCATCCCTACCTCCCAATCTAGATCACAGCTTATGTAAGGTATTTTATAATCTTTATGGGTCACAAATCTCCTCCTTTCTTAACTGATCACAGCATCTGGCAGTTGCTCTGTTCTCCTTGGCCTAAGACTGCCTGCTTGGCAGCTTTTATTCCTATCTCACTAGTTGAGCCTTTCAGCTTTTTCTTTTGTCTTGAGACAGGGTCTATTCATATAGCCTAGGCCAGCCTAGCACTCACTGTGATATAGCCAACGCTGGCCCTGAACTCCTGACCTCCAGCCTCTGCCTCCCAATTGCTGGGGTTACAAGAGTGTATCAACATACCTGGCTTCCTTTCAGCATTTGTGTTGACAATTTTGTTACTATTTCTAATTTTTATTTATTTTTTGAGACAGGGTCACCCTGTTGACCTAGCTGTCCTTCAAGTGGCTATGTAGACCAGGCTGGCCTCGATCTCACAGAGATCTGCCTACCTTTGCCTCCTCAGCCCTGGGACTAGAGGTGTGCACCCCATACCCAGTTACCGTTTTATTTTTAACTTCTAGCTTTAGATTGCCTCAGGCTTCATTGACAAAGGTCCTCTCTCCTCTTTTTTTTTTTCCAGCCCAGGATTATCCCAAGGCAAAACAAATGTTTCAGTCATTTAGAACTGCACTCCCCAACATCCAAGCAAGGAATTGCCTAGATGCTTGCTAAAAAACAAGTTTTTTGTTTCAATTCTTGGCTTGAGTCAGAAGCTTCTGGAGAGTGGCCATTGAATTTATCAGCAACAAGTACTACAAATTATTTCTGACCTTTGGGATATTTATAAAACACCGGTTTTCACTAAGCTGGAATCACTCATGGGCTGGAGTTGGAGATATATACAAGTTAATTTTTTTCTGAAGGACATAATCACTAGGATGAAGGTTAAAAAAAATCTCTATTCTAGTATCACAGAAGGGTTGACTGACTAGTGAATATATAACAGACAGCAATGTGTGTGACATCATTTTGTTTCAATTAGGGTCTCAGGTATCACATTGACTATAATGGGAAATGAAAACTAGGTATTCAAGTACTGGTGAGGGCGTGGAGCTGCTGAGTTCTCCTGAAGGTCAAATTGGTACAAATACAATGGCCAGTGCCTTTAAAATTTAGTTACCATAACACCCAGGAATTCTACTACTAATATATACTACTATACATATATTGCTACTAATATATTAATATGCATATGTATATTAGTAGTAATTTATACTACTATATTACTAATTATAGTATGAAAATACATGTGAACCCAAAACTTTTATGCAAATATTTATAGCAGCTTTACTAATAGCTGTGCCAAATTTGAAACAAAGCTCATGCCCTTCAAGTGGAGGAAGAATCAGCAAGCTTTGGTTTGTCTACACAACAAGCTGTGGTTTGCCTACACAGTTTACACAATGCAATGGTAATTTGAAATTAAAAAGAGCGAATAATTGATACAACAACACAGACAAATCTCAAATGTATTCCGATATGTGAGAGAGATTAGACTTGGGAGGTGATGCACTATATGATTCTATTTGCGTGGTGGTCTGCTAAAGGCAAAATGTGAGGACAAAAATGGATCAGTGGTTTCTATGACCTGGGATAGAGCTGTTTATGAAGACACGTAAGGGAATCTTGTGAGCTTATAGAACTATTTTATATCTTGATTATGGTAGTGCTGGTGATATAACTATGTGTTTGTCAAATTTAATAGACTTATACACTAAAATAGGTATGTGTGTCTATAAATTATATATTATTAATTTTGACTACAATGAAGTCCCAGACAGCAGCTTAGCTACAAGACAAAGGATCATGTCCTGGGCTGTTATCTGAGGATTTTGACTGGAGAAGGTCATGGGTCTATTTAGGAGAATAGACAAGAAGAGCCCCATGAAAGGCAGTGAATTCTAGACACACACTTCAGTCAAGTGTCCTCTGGGTATCATGGACTCCTGGGCCTATGGAAGGATGATGGAAACTGGATCTTAACTATGGCTAGTCGATGCCTACTCAAGGCTGGTTTAGGACCAGTATAGGGCTAATTGACTCTGCTGATACATCATGTGAAGAAATTTATCTATCTGAAGCAATTTAGGAGAAGACCATTATTAGACTCCAAGTTCTAAGCAAGAGTTTTGTGACCCAACCACACTGGTATGAAGTCTAATCAATTTCTTTATGATAGGGAACAGGGATGCTTCAGTGACTCGTGCAAAGGAATGATGTAAGCAGGAGGTCTCCCTGTTGCGGCGATATTTCTATAGACCAACCAAGCACGACCATTTCTAAATAGGAAAATGCTGCCTGATAATAAATTTCTCCTATACATACCATTCAGTGAACTTGCTTCATCTTAGTTAAAGTCTTGCAATTTCCCCTTCTGCAGTGATGGACAAGGATCTGTTTTCTCCATAGTCCTTGTATAAAGAGAGAGTTTTTGGAGGCTGATAGTGGTGTTATTGGGATTTGATCTTGACATCCTCATGATTCAAGTTCTTGATTGCCATTCCTATTACTGCAGGGCCTCGGGCTAACCTTCTAACCTCAGTTTTCCCCAAATGAAAAATAAATAGAAAGTTCTTTACTTATTTATGCTGGGCTGTGTTAGTATATGAAAGATGTTCCAGTGTAAGTATTATTACAAGGTCCAATTTACTGTCCAGAAAGAAGCAATCCTGATAGAAATCGTTCATTTAATTAAAATTGATTTTAAAATTGCCTGATCAATAGTGAGTTAAAAATTCATCCTGGCTCAGTGGGAGGAAAGAGGCCACTGAATGGTTCTAAGTGGAGTGGTTTTGGCTCAGGAGTTGGGCTGGGCCTTGCTAACTCTGCTTCTTTGGCCAAGGTCTGATGGTTTCTCTTGTGGTCCAGATGGCCGAGGCCTCCCTGAAGGAGAGAGGACTTGCAGAAGAATCAGCTCCTATTTCTGAAATTCTGGGCAGTAAAGCCTTAAAAATGCAACTGACCTTGCTAGCTACGATTGAGCCGTTTTATTTGCTAGGACCCAATAAAAACATTTTTCTTGCTTTGGGGGAGTAGAATTTACTTTCTTTGAAAGATGCCTCCCTCAGATACTTAGAAGGTCTTTGCTGTGTGCAGTCAGTCTCAGTGGGAAAACTGGGATGTCTTCCCACTCTCCAAAAGCCTGTACGCTATGCATAATTATTTGCAAAATTCTATCAGTTCAACCCCTAAGCCACATGCGCACTACCATCC